TCAAAAGCCTTCCTGAAGTCCAGGAAAACTATATCCACTGCCACCCCTGCATCCAATGATTTAGTGACCTGGTCGTAAAAGGCCACCAAGTTGGTCTGACAGGACCTGCTGCTGATGAACCCGTGCTGGTTGCCCCTGAGCATGCAGTTCCCTGCTGGCCCCTCCTGGATGCGCGTCACAGTTAGTCTCTAACAGAGACGATCCCAGCAGGGTGTAGGGCCCAAGGCAAAGCAGCCTGTGTGGGGCCCCCCTACCTGTCCCACGGCATACTTACACCAGGGAGTGAAAGCCCCGGCACAGCAGACGTGGCGGGGTGGGTGGTGGCTGGAACTTCCAGCCGGAACAGGCAAAGAGCCGTCCAACCCACCACGCGGGCAGCCGCAGCATCTCCACCCGGCTCTGCGGAGCCCCCAAAGCAAGAAGCCTGGGGCACTTGCTCTGATTTGCACCCCCCTAGGGACAGCCCTCGTCTCTAAGATGCCATCCTGCCCTGTCTTGTGCTTGATGTCACTTAGCAGGAGCCCATACACAAGAGCTTAAACTCGCTCTGGTTAGGCTATTGAGGAATGTCTTCCACACCACCTAGTCTCTGATCTTGGCGATGACATCTCGGACAGGTGTCCCCAGTGCAGCAGGAACTACACTCAAAACATTGTATCTGGGAATAAAAAAATCAAAGAGAATAAATTTAAGTCTATGTGAGTTATATGATAGGTTGATAGATCAGACCTGAGGTGGTATAAATCAGTTTAGTCAGTAAAGCTATAACCAATTCACAGAAATCTGACTTCAAGCTGAGTTATTTTCAACAGTGAATCCTTAAAAAATGAACTGTGACCAGAGACAGATTAGTGCATTTGTTAGAAGTTGGCATTTGAGTCTCATCCCTTCAAGTGCTGAACAAGAAAGCTGAAGTACAGCACAAAGATGCTGAATACCCAGTAATACCCAATACTGTATGTTATATTCAGCCCTCACTAACAATCAGTTATTCCCAAGTCTCTGAAAGCCATCTACATCCAATAGATTATTTGTAGAACATGTTGCTTGTTGCATGAAACCTTTTACTCAGTTGCAGAAGTCAGGCAACTTGTACTTTGACCTTAATGCCAACTTTTCTACTGCTTCTGTTTGCACTAGTGGCTGAGTAACAGAAAGGCCGGCAGTACCTAAGCTCATTGCTCTGATCAGGGAGGCAACTAGTCAGTGGTAGTTACTTATCTGGACTTTAGAGACAGGAGGAGGACTCTGTAGGAGTAAGCGTTACAGTAGCTGCTGATACAAAGCAACTGAAAGTGAACTGGTAGAGTGGAGTCAACCCCTTTCTGTGCTTTCTTTTGCTCAAACAGTGCTGGTATGGTATCCTCCGATCCCTCCATAGCAGTCTGCCAGACTGCAAAGGGCCAAGGCACAAAAGGACCAGAGGGGTTCTTGGAGCAGGAGAAAACATCTCCCGCTCAACCAGCCACCCCAGAGACACCCCTTACCTCCATTGAAGTAGTTCCCATCAATAAATTCTTTCAGTCCCACGCTTTCTTGCCCCACACCACTCAGGCCGCTGTTATGACTGTCCAGCAGCATCTTCAGTTTGCTGGCATCCTGGGTGATCCAGCAGCAGACTTGGCAACCAAACCTCCACAGAAAGAGAAAGGTCCTTCCACAAAGAGCACAGCTCCATCACCTAATCAGACATCACCTGTGACTATGCAGCCAGAACCATGTATGGGATTTTAAAGCCCAGGCTGGAAAGTTTCAGCTATTTCACCCACTGCTTCCGAGATCAGGATTTTAGGGGGTAAGAGGACAGTGCCTGGCTGTTCCCGCACCACCTCTTTGTGGTTAATAACCAGTGTCTGGGGTTTGCCAGGCTTTCTGAAGAAAAGCTCTACACTGCAGCAGCCAGCAACACACACACTATGAACAAGAGGCTCTACGGCCCACTGCTCTCAGCATCAAGACCTGAGCAAGTGGCCCTTCATTGTTCCCTGTGAAACTGTTCTGCGTTGCAAATGGCCCTTCAGTGTTCCCTGTGAAACCGTAACGCTGATTCTCATTTCCAGCTGGTGGATTTGAGGGGTGAACTGCAGTTTTTATCAGCATATCACACCCCAAAGTTTTTAGTCCTAATCCCAGTTCTGATGGGGCAGGAAAGTGCAAGAGAGCTCAGAGAAAAACCAGCCAAACAGCAAAAAAGCCTGACCAGCAACCAGGGCCAACCACACTGCATTGGTCAGGGCACAGAGCCACAAAAAGAACCTGTGCCAGGCTCAGCCATACAGCAAACAGACATACCACGGGGCTCAGCAATATAGCTGTACTGAGACACAACCACTGTAGAAGGGGGACTCAGGCCTGTCCTGCACCTGGGCCTGAATATACAACCAAAGAGCACCAGGCCTACTTGGCTGTGGCCTGGACATATAACCTCAGACACATTGCTAGGCTGAGACCTAACAGCTAGGAAACAACAAAACAGGGGGCCAGGCCTATTTTGGCTTGGGTCTGAACTAGCACTAGCACCCAACCACAGCACTTGGTTGGTGCATAAACTGCAAAAGGGACCAAAGGTGGCCCGGGCCTATTTCACTGGGCAGCAAAAAGCCAACCAGGACTACACAGCACTGAGACCTGAATAAGCAACAAAAAGTGCCAGGGCTTCACTCTGGCCCAAGTCTGCCAGCTAACATATGGCTGGGGTTCAGCCCCACACCGGTGGGCTGAAATGCAGCAGCTGTAAAACAGCAAAAAGGTCCCAGGCTTGTGGCTTCAGCCTGGACATGTAGTCTCAGCTATACCACCACGCTGAGACACTACAATCCCCAACACAGAGACTACCAGGACCCTGTCTGCTGCTCAGTCTCCATTAGGGAATGATACTCTCATGGCATCATCCTACTCAAGGCCTGCATGGCAGATAGCTGCCAGGACCCCATTCCTGGACAGCATGCTCTAGGGGAGGAGACAGTCATGGCCCCGCATAGGAAGCAGGCTCCTCTGGCTCCCAAATCAGCAGGAGGATGAAAGAGAGCCCAGACCAGGTGGCCTCAACCTTAAATAACTTTTCTGACCTCATCACAGGGCCCCAGTCGAAAAGCAGCCTCACTGGAACACAGTTAATGCACAGCAATCAGTTCAAAGGTGGGCGGCAGCCCCGGTGAACTGGGCCAGTTACCAAACTGGTGCCATAGGTTCCTTGCAAGGAAGCTTAAGACAAAGGGTCTGGACACAATAAGGGGGGATGGGAGGATGGTTCTTTCCAGTCCTAGAGGAACCGAGAGGTACAGCACAAACAACAAAATAAAACCAGAACACACTTGACCACACACAACCTCAAATGTGTGTGGGTGTTACATATATATATAATGTCCTTCATCTCATTTATTGTAGGATGCCCTGAGTCTTTCTGGATATTACCTCACACTAAATTAAAAACTAAAACTGACCAGATTCCATTCTCTGAGTTTCCTTTCCCCGCTAGATGGAGCCCAGCAGCTGTCTAAAAGGACACGAACCGGAACAAGGGGAGGAAAAAAACAACTTGCAAACTCAGGCAAGGGGCATGGCATTTGCATCAGGTTAAAGATGAAAAGCACAGCTTCCTGGGATCTAAGCATTATTCAAAGGGAGCCCTGTAATCCCTACACTGTCTTGCTCTGCCCTAAACTCCCACCAGCATGTAGAGGAAAGTGAAAGTGAAAGATATGCACTGCAAGTTTCCAGAGGATGCAGCCACAGAGATCAAATATACACATACACACACATACGGAGTATCCTCCCCTTAAATCCAGCTTCCATAAGTAGGTGATTTTCTTAACTGCATAACAGGACTCCAGTCCAAAACTTATACCTACTGCTCACATTATAACAAACATTGGTTATCAGTGTACTGGCTATGTGCATCAACCCCATAAATAGATAGGAACAGGCAGCCCTACTGCTTATTTTGTAATGCAATAATCATCCAACTGCCCAATTCTGGCCAATTCCAAGGCTGCTGACAGAGGCCGAAGACTCCCAGAAGCAACACGCAGGGATGAGCTCAAGACACTTAGCACAGGTTGTTCCCTAAGTTAATGAGCACTGCTTACATTGAGGCCTAATAGGGTAAGTACAGAGCCTTTTTTCCATTGGGAGGCTATGCAGTTAAAAGAGGGTACCCCACCTATATATACCCCTGTGTGTGCATGCATGAGTATATAGGGTGATTTTTTAACATTTTTTTTAAAACTTTTAAAAAGTAAAAATATGTGTGCCGCTGGGGTGTTTTAATTAAAGCGGCTGCCCGGAAACGACTCTAATTAAAACACCCCCCACACACACCTCTGAGCAGGTCAATAGGCAGCCCCTTTTTCAACTTTGGTTTGGATGATCTGTCTTGGTTTTGACTCATATTGTTATTGGATCCATCAACTTTGACCTCGGTCACTGTTTGCTGTTTGAATAATTGGTAACACATAGATTATATCTCTGTGTATTCTCTTGTGCTTATACATGTTCTTTCATTATTATTTATCATTATCCCTTATCCTTTGTTTAAATCCCTGTTGTACTTCCAATAAATCTTTGTTTTATCTTTTTAACTTTTAATGTGTTTCCCTGGCTGTGGGCCAACAATCTCAGCAAAAGTTAGGCTGGCACTCCCATCTCTCAGTGTGCTGATGCCACACACTGAGAGCGAGTCTAATACTAACCTTACCCTACTTGCTCACCACCCTAGTGGTTTTGAATCCTATATTTGTCACCACTACAGCACTCATGCCCCATGGTCCAGTCTGCAAATTTAGTATGTTATTGTAGGGGTTTGTTACATTATCATTAAAAGGAAACTAACTAATCACTTGGAAGGAAGATTTTTTTCCTCCCCAAGTTGATGTGACCACATGCAAATTTGACCTCTGGTTTCATTCTGATTCAGTTGAGCAGAATATGCATATTAGCTAGTCAGAGTACTGAAAGACATAGTGCAAGAAACCGCTGGTTCAAGTAGCAAGCATTTATGAGGAATCTGCCAGGTCAAGAGTTGCAGCCTTGGACTGTAAAATAACAGACATAATATCTGTGGTCAAGCCCTCCCTGCCTGATACAGAGAACTAAACCCAGTCAAGAGATCTCACTCTCCAGCTGAATGGGCCAAACTCTGGGCTAGGGGTTTTAAGAGGGCTCCTCTTCTCCCCATGTGTTTGGTGAATAGGTCTAGGCCCCTTGTAAATCTAGTGCTTTGCTGTTGTGAAAAATGGCTGGAAAGGAAATGACTTATTCAGGATGAGCAAAATAGTCCAAATGAGCTGACAGTTTTTTAATCTTTGCTGAAATTTTAAAAAATTCTGGTTTAAGGTTTCTCCCCCCTACCCCAGTTGGCTGAAAACCCACAAGGATCCAGCATTCACACTGCACTCATTTTTTTTAAGACATGGTCTTGTAAAATAAACTGCAGTGCAAAGGCTCATGGGCAAGGAATAGCACAGATAGGGAAGGGTCCTGGGGTTTTGTTCATGGGACAGGCAGGTTGCAGTACAGAACTGCAGGGCAGTTCGTACATAGCAGGGAGGAAGGGTGTGTGGCCTGTGATCAGAGCAGTGGGCCATGGACTTCTGAGCTCCCTTCCCCAGTGTGCCTGAGCTAGTAAATGCACTTCTGATACTGGTTCCTATCTGCAAAACAGGGCAAAAGGATTCCAGCGATAGGCATTTCATACCATGCATGGCACTTCTTTAATTCAACTGCTGGCAAGCTTCCTTAAGTCCAGCTCAGGTTTTCATGGGTTTGGCTTGCTTTGTTTAAGCCAGGGGTGTCGGAGATATGGCCCATGGGCTGGATCATAACATCTGATCACAGGTGCTGCCTCTGGGTCTCAGAGTGCTGGATCTGAGGAAGAAACTGCTCTTCACACTTCAAAACTGACTCCTGCTTCTAGTAGCAATAGCTGCTGCCTGTGCCCACTGCTGAAGCAGGTGCCCCTGCTCCAAGAGCACAATCTGGGTTGTGCTACAGGAATGCTGCACAAACCCATTTGTTTCAACTGGATGCAGAATTATTAGTGTCTGATTTGTTTTCACTCTTCCCTTTGGAAAGTGCCGACCTATCCATGACACAGAGCCTTCCACAGGCATGGGTTGATTTCCATGGGAGTAAGTAGTCCTGATTTCTTGCAAGTTTGCTGCCTGCTTCACTGCCAGTTCTCGAGAGGCCCAAGATCTCTGGACCCCATCTGCTGGCAGGAAACATCAGAACAGTAGCAAATAATACTCATCTGCACATAGTAAACCACTTCCTAGACATAACCCAAGATAGCAATAGTTCCCATTGCAATGTCTATTTGCCAAGGTGACATCATTTTAAAAAATCAAGAGCCCACAACCGTTGTGCCAACCACATAGACTCAAACCTGCAACTGCCAAATCTGAGCACTCGGTTACAACCCCATTTCTCAGGCTCCCCCTCGAAGAACACCCCTAGGACAGGAATAAGAAGCCTCTTGCAAAATGATTAAATACACCTAATGTTGGGGAATGGACGATAGTTGCTGTGTCCTACACATAGAAGTCAAACATTTATGGCAAGCCCCCTCTCTCACATGTTACAAGCTGGGTCAAATGTTCTCTCCAGAAAGATTGCTGGGGGGGGACATCTGTTTGCCACATGAAATTGCAGTTTCAATAGCAAGCATTTATAATGACTGCCACTTACAGCAGATGTAATACATTCAAAATAGGGAAGAGACACTTTGGTGGCTACAGGCCCATTAGGCTGACCACCAGGTTATGTAATGGTTGGCAGGAAACATTGTGAAGGCAAGAATAATGAAGGAAATGAAGGAAAATAGTAAATGGAATAAACACACCGTCACGGTTCTGTCAAAGGCCAGCTGCATCAGGATCATCTTGCATGTCTTAACAACAGCCTTAGACAAAGGCACTTCAGTAGACCTAACTTACCTAGGCATAAGGCAAGCTTCTGATTCAGCGTCTCCTGGGAAATACTATTTATGGCAGAGAAGACTGCAGTCAATAAAAGAAGTGCAAAGTTGACACAAAGCTGATTAACGGGGGGCTACAATTGTTTATATTGAAAGATGAGCTTCTGGAATAGAAAAATTTTAGTAGTGGTGGTCCTCGAGGATTCATCTTAGGACTTATCCCATTTAAAAGTTTCACCAATGACTATATGGCAGTCAGGAGGCAGGGTAGAGATGCACCTTTATAGACTAACTGAATTGAATAAAATATATACTGTGTTGCGTATATATCTTATTTGGTTAGTCTATAAAGGTACTTGCCTACTGACTGACTTGAGTCTAACACAGGTAACTACCTCTCTCTTTGATGAAGTATCCAAGTGTGTCCCTATGAAATCTGCAGGTGACTCAAAACGGGGAAGAGCTGCCAATACTGAGGAAGATTAGATTTATTGTATAGGAAAAATAATCATGTGTGATG